CTGCCACAAACTGAGCTAATTTCCTTGGCTCAATTCCATCCTACCAATCCCTTGCCAGTCAGCCAAGGTGCAAGGAGGCCTGAACTCTCTGGGAGTGGCTGGTGAGAAAGAAGTGGTTCTGCCCCTCCATGAGGGTCTAGCTCCAAATCTACAGGAAGAGGCCCCTGGGTTTGGTCTGGAGGAAACCAAGGGCTTAGGAGCTGGCATATACTAGCCTCAGCAGGAGGATTAAACTTCATATTCCTTCCTCGCCATTCTGCCCTCTTGGAAAAGACACACAGCTCTTGTCCCAGCACCCTTAGGCAAACGAGGGTAAGAGAATTAATTCTGAAAAACAAGTCACCCAGGGAAAGGAATAGAGGGAATTCTGGTACTTCCAAGAACCCGTGCACTAGGTGATTTGAATGGGGGTGTGTTTCATCCCTCAGGTGTGCAGGATGGAAACAAGGTGAAGATCCAGTAAGCCAGAGCCTTCCTGAGGATTCTCCTATGGTCTAAAGATTCCCCAAAGTATTCTAGTACCTCAGCCTATGCATCTTTTCCAACTATACCTATTCTCCTCTCTCCTAAGCTCTGGGCCCCTAGGAATTTGGGGTGCATGTCCCCTGTGATTGGAGGACACCCTCTGATACCAGCAGGCTAGCCATGGGATACTTTTCAGTTTTAGAGCTTACCAATATAGCAATAAAGTGTAGTAAAGAACGTGGGTTATGAAGTTGAAAGTCCTGGATTCAAATCTCAGATAGCCCGTGTGACTTCTGAGCCTTGGTTTTAGCTGTAAAATACCCCTATTACAGGAGAGTTGTTACGATTTTAAAATAGTGTTATGTAAAGAGCTTATTTATAATGCTTAACACCAAGTAAGCCTTTGCTAAAAGGTAGCAATTGTTACCACACTCAGAGATTTCAGGCTGGGCATGTGAGTAGAGACTGGAGGTTAGGTCAGGGGAGCACTGAGGTATTAATAAGTGCTGCTGTACCTCCCCTAGGAACAAGCTAACAAATATCTATGGTTAAACTAACCTCTGGAGTCCCAGATCAGCTCTGGCTACCCTGGAAAGGCACAAGGCAGGCAGGAGCCCCAGGCAGCCAGGTGCAAGTGAAGTTTAAACCTTTCAATAAATGGGAAACAGCATGAAAGGCTGAGTGGGAGTAAGAGGAACACTTCAGACCAAATGACTGGGGGTTAGTGAGGTGAGAGATTTCCCAATCATCCATAACTCGTAAATTACCTTGATGAAGCTCAGAGGGGAAAGCACATCCATGAAGAAACTGCTCCATGGGTCTTCAAATGCAGTGTCAGCAAGGCGGCTTATGATTCCAGCATTCATCTCCTGCAAACTGACCATCCCAGGTCAGAGGCTTGTCCCCTGACCAGGAGTGTACTACCTCTACCACAGACATTTAGTACTGTGCTCACAGACTTTCAAGCCCTGGGTTCTGATAACCATGATTTCTCCATCCCCTGGCTGCTGATCTCCAAACCCTTGCCATTCCTGACCCAGAATAAGAGATGTGGGACTGGCTTCAATGCAGGCCAAAACTCCTAGCCTTCAGACTCCAGAGCAAGGGAGGACAGGTTACAGTGGTTCTCCATGGGGACTACTTGGGACTGGTTAGGCTTATCTCATCTCATATATAGGGATGGATACTGCAGACACGTACCCAATGACATATATGTCCAGATTCAGGTTCTGGTTGTTCAGCTGAAGCAGGTCATTGAGGTCTAGAGGGGGTGCTGCTGAGGCCACGTTCCACGTCACAACGTGTATGCTATGGAAGGAATGCAAAGGGAGGTCATGGGGGAAGAAGAAGACCTTGTCCAGATAATGAAAAAGAGTCTAGGCCTGCTAATGGCTGCACCACAATCCACTGCAGTCAAAATGGGTAATGCAAGTTTCTGCATCTGGTGGTGGGAATAGGGGCACTAAATAGCAAGCCTTTCATCTTCACCTTTGTCCTCTGAAGCAAGAAATCCCCGCCCTGGACTGGCTCCTCCATGTAGGCCCACAGTAGGTCCACATCTGGCAGCACTGTTGCTGCTGACACTAGTAGAGCTGCCAAAGGGAGTCCAAAGTCTTTTGGGTTAGGCAAGGGAAGGGAGGGGGGGCTGGATAGCCAGGGATTTATGAATCCCATCAGCTCCTACAGCCATCCCCATCTCAGCGATTGTCTATGGCTCAGTCAGCAAATTTCTACCCCCACTCCTCAATCCAGGGGTTTCTAAGACCACCAGAAAGAACCTGAGGGTTCAGATTTCACCTTGTAAAAGGCCTTGGCACTACGAGGACAGGGAAATTTCAAAAATAACAAAGATAAACGACCACATTCCCTTTCCTCACTCCCTCCTAGCAATCGCTGGAGCAAAACCAATTCTGCTAAGCACTTCAGGGAGCCAAAGGAGAAGCGTCTAAGTAATGGGTTTCTCAACATCTCTCAACAGTCTACCCTCTTTTGGGAAAAGTCATTAGCTGGATAACATTCTCCACCTTAGCTTCGTACAAGTCCCAGGGAAGCAAGAGAACTAGGTCAGTGGCTCTCAATAACACTGGATCCTGTCAGAGCTTCAGAGAAAGGAGAGGCTTGCAGATCTCTTTAACTGAATAGTTACAGCAACCCTCCAAGGAAGTCCCAGACTGTGCTGAGTACAGAGCAGGAAGGATCTGCAGACCCTGCAGAGACCAAGAATAGCCACCAAGCCTCAAGTGAGACTAGATACACTATAGGGAGGAGTACCTGCAGCAGCTGAAGATGTAGAATGAAAAGAGGGTACAAGGAGCTGGAAGAAGAGGGCGGGTTGTCCTCAAACATCTCTTCTCCACCAGACCCTGTTCCTAGAGGTTTATTTTCTAAAAATCACAACTTGAATAAATTCTTGGCCAGCTTAAAGCAACTTCCTGCCCCTCCCTATGAACATAAACAATACAAAAACTACCCTGCCAGGCACTCGGCCTGAGATTACATGCTTCATTTGTTCACATCTCCCCCTGCTGTCCAACAGAGGATTTAGGAAGACAGCCCTTTTACTCAAAGGCTCATTGTTTTCCCAGGGACCTGCTCTAAGTGGATGGAGAACAAAAATGAGGATTTCTTGTCCCCATTCTCAGATCCGATGATTAGCAGCAAATACATGCATCGTGACTTACACTAAGTTGGTGATTATCGTTGTTTCTCATGAAAGAGCAGGCAAGAAATCAGGCTAAGCCACTTCCCTGAAGGATCTTATCTAAATCTGATTTCGGATTTCCGGAGGTCACAAGGGCATCAGGCAGACCTCGCGATGAATGTGCTGATTAAAAGTAGGAACAAGATTTCTACTCTACAGCTGAGGGGTGAATGCCTTGCTATGTCTTCAACTTCAAACAGCTCCTCCAGAAGGTAACTGGGCTCCCCAGTGGGAACGAGCTCAGTGGCCCAAGTTTAGGGGATTGCGAGGCTCAGGCTCAACATGGACACGGGCCTGGGAGAATTCGGGTGGGTCCCCAAACCAGATGTAGACTTGATCCCTTCTCTCCCAGTCTGGTTCCACCCCCAGTCCCGCAGCCCCGATTGGGTCCGAGGCAGCGATCCGCCCGCAGCGGACCGGCCTGCTCGCAGGCGTCTTCCTCACCTGAGGTTCATGGCTTTCGGCCCGGTCGGCTTTCGCGGGTTCACAGCCTCCATTGTTCCCACGCGGGGGCCCGGCAGGCTAGCGTCTCCCCGCCCCAGCTGATCCAGGCCCAAACTGTCCCTCGGGCGGCAAGTCTGTCACACCTCGCTCTCGCTCGATTGTTTTTCTTCCGGATTCTGACCGTCCGCCTCGGCTTCCGTAAGAGGCGGATCTTGAGCGCGCCAAGGGCTCCGGGTGGCGCGGGTCAGGGGAAGAGGCGGGACTCTCCAACGAGCGCGAAAAGGCGAGAGGCTGAGTAGAGCGGCTCTGCCCCGGCCGGCGCGCGGAAGTGCCGCCGCCTGCCGAAGCCCCGCCCCGTCGCCCGCGGCTACCGGCGCGTCCTGCGCGAGGGGCCGTCTTCCGGCGGAAGTCGCCGCCAGGCCCGCTCCTTGCCTCTGTCCGATCCGTGACGGCTCTGAAGGCCCTGGCCCCTGTGCTGTCTTTCCTCCAGCTTCCCACCGCCCAGCGACCCAGAGGGCGGGCGGGAGTGGGACTGGGGGACACGCCGTCTAGCCACTGCTCCGCCGGCGATCCAGTCTCCCCCGACTACAGGTCATCTCCCCAGTCCCCACGGCACGTTGGTCACGGAGCTCCTACATTCTTGGTTGTCCTCTAGGCCCGCTCTCAGGAGGCTTTCGCTTTTCAAACTCATTGGGTTATTTGTTACACGTGGGACGTCTTGGGGTTTCTGGACTCAGAAAATTGGCCATTAATGAAAAATAAGTCACTGCCTCTATTTGAACCAAACATGAAATGAAGGTTATTTTACTTTTGCCAAAGGTTCACCATGATTTCCTTCAGTCAGTTTTTGTTTTGTTTTGTTTTTTTGGCCGCTGGCCGGTAGGGGAATCTGAACCCGTGACCTTGGTGTTATAAGGTTGAAGTCACTGGTTCTCAAAAAAAAAATTTTTTTTTTCAGAGTGTGTGTGTGGGTTGTGTGCCTGAGATTTCTTTGAGAGCCATGACTTTCCCTAGAAAAATGCACACACAATTTTACAAACAAGCTTCATAAGGCTCACAGTCGCAGAAGCCAGGTTTAAGAACTCCCACCTTAAATGTTTTGCTTGGTAGAGTGGATGAAGATGGAGATGTGAAGAGGAGGAGAGACAAAAGCAAAAAGGAAACACTGCCAGTAAAAATGGCCAAATTACACTCAGATATGCAATGTTTGCATAAGTAAATTGACAAGGGGATGTTTTAATTTACGGAAATCCACCTGCAAAAATTTCCAGAGACATCTTTGTATCTTTTCCTAATCCTGCCATGGTAAAATGGGGAACATCAGTAAGAGTTTGACGTTGAGTTGTAAAATGGACTTAAGGACATCACCAATAAACTGGACTCCAGAAAGCTCTGTCTAGGATTTTATTAGACTGCTTTTTCCCCCCCAATATACCTGTATTGGAAGATTGAGACAAAAAGGCACAAACTCACATTAAATAAACAAGGTAATCTAATCAGTTCTACAAAGTGTAGTTTGTAAAAGAAGTAGCACTAGGAACCAACCAAAATAAGTCAGGGAATCCCAGTAGAGACTGAAAAAGGAGAAGTTGGGAAGATATACACGTGCCCACAATACTGACTCTGTCCCTGACCTATCTCCATGAGAAGGCCAGAGTCTAGCACCCCTCCTACAGAGGCACTGCTGCTTCCAGTTGGGACTATGACCCTGGAAATCTAATGGAAGCAGATGGTCTGAAGGGGCGTGGCACATCCTCAGGTACTACCCTTAGAGCTAAGCCTTTCATCATAAGCCCATCTAAGTGCTAGTCATTTTGGGGATGGGTGGGGAGGGAAGGGGGTACTTAAAAGAAGCCAACACTGTTGCCCAGCAGCAACACCATCCATGGGGATGGAAGAGACCAGGGACATCCATCCTTTATGTTTATATGGCCAGGAGCCCCAGATCCAGGTTGACCTCAGGAAATTCTAGCTCAGCTCATTTGGATGCTTTGAAACTGAGTCAACAGGTGGAGGTGGGAGGAGCTAGAGAAAAGGCAGATAAAGAGTGAGCCCCCATTAAAGATGAAGTGATATGTGTGGATCTCCAAGAAGTGAAAGAAGGAGACTAACATCTGCTGACCCTCAAACCATAAACAACTGTCTGCTTAGAATATCAGTTTGTTTCTCCCAAGATAACCCACATTTGGACTTCACCTTGTTGATGAATGAAGGAAAATCATTAAGCACAAATATAAAGCTAATACAGAGCTTGTAGGAAAACATTTATATTTTTCTCCAGTAGGAATGCCTCTTCTCCAACTTTCCCAGTCAAATAAATGCTGCCAGCAGTTGAGATGCTAATAACCAACTGAAATGCCTCAGATCCATTACTAAAGACCCCACAAGGTGAGGAGACTAATACAGAGAAAGGAATCTTTAACAGGACATCTGGACCTCAATGAAGGTCAGAGCTAACTATGCTGAGCGGTCTGACTCTGTCTACCCTTGTCCCAGAAGGGCCACAGGGAAGTATCCATCAGGATGTCAAAGGTGCAATCCTGTGAGACACTCCCTTATTGCACTTAAAAATGAGCAAGGCAAACAAACTGACAAAAACGTAAGGATAAATTATCCCATGCCACTTCTTACTCCCCCAACAGAAATTTGGTCTCTGTCATTAACAGATGCACTCAGGCTAGCAGGAGCTTGGATCACTGCACACTTGGGCCAGCATACTTCACAAGGTTTGGGAAATGTCCCGGTAACACAACAGCTATCTCAGATTCTCCTATCAGGAAGGCATACTCAGGTTCTGCCAAGTCATAGGAAACTGAAGCACTCAGCAGCTTCTATTCCCTTGGAACCTGGACTACTTCACTAGCCTACTTTGGTAGAGTTCTGTACTATGATCACTAGTTGCTTTCGATTGTCCAGGACAGAACTCAACACAGGAGCAGGATGAGCTGAGTTCTTGATTTCCAAATTTCTTTCCAGCAACCGGAGACAAGAGGGAACATGTTCTGCTGGAAAAAAGCTTTTTGCATGCTCATTTTGTGCAGCATGAAAAGGTCAGGACTCTTGCATCCTAACCAGCCTCAAAGACAGAGGACAGGGATCTAAGAAAGCACAGAGAAAAGAGGATTATTGCTGAGTGGCAGCACCAGCCCAAAAGGGAAGAGGAGCATGGATATCCAGAGCCCCACGGGGGTCAGACTGATTGGAATATACGGGGCAGACTCAATTCTAAGGGCCACTCTAAGGGCAATTCCCTTCAGGTGGAGGGTTGACTGGGATGTTTTGTAGGCTCTGCAGAGAGATTCAGACAGAGTAAGCAACAGGAGGGGCCAAGAAGCAATAGGTGTTTCTAAAAATAGTGACCAGAGATGCAATGACTGGGGCAGGGATTATTTATATTTGTTTTCTTAAACAGAGACTGGCTGGGCTGTGGGTACCTCCTAAATGCTTAGAGCACTCTAACCATTGGGTTAATGGGAGCAGAGATTAGAGTTACAAAGCCACATTATTATTCTGTGGAACCGGGAGAAAAAACTCTGTATTTCTAACTCATCCTCTCTCCCCAGGTGAGCACTCAAAATTTTAAAGATCTGCCCAGGAAGCAAAACACCTCAGTTTATATCCCAAGGTTGAAAACAAAAGAACTCAAATCATTGAAATGATCACATCACAAAAGGCAGCTATTTTGAAAGACTGAAAATGTCACTTGGAAATAATGGTGGGGTACACACAGAAATGGGTCAGAACACAATGGAGAGAGAGAGAGGAGCTGTAAATACAGCAACCTACACACCACATATCTCAGAGGAGTGAGCTCCCGCACATGCGGGCTTTGTAATACCAGACGGTCTATTTGTTCACGATATTAAAGGGCATCTAGAATCAGCTACAGTAAGGAATCGAGAGTTGCCTGAAGAATGGGCACAGAAAGGCTGTGTCCAAAGATGGCCTGTCACTCAGGAGGGTGGAGCTGCTGGGCCTTCCTGTTGACCACTGTCCTGCAAAACTAGAAGAGAAATACAATTATTAAGGAACAGGGAAAAACAAAAACACACTGTAAATCATCTTGAATGGGGGAATTTCAAAAGGACAAAGGATGCCAAGTCCGTGGGGAGGGGAGTGGTGGGAGAGAGCACTAAGGCCCAAGCAGTGACTGAGAAGATGGCCTGGCAAAATCCACTTAATCCTACCCTTGTATCTCCAAGAAGCTGCTTTAAGAACATGGGGCAGGGACAGAGAGCAGAGGTCTGTGTCACTGCTGGTGAGATCCTAGGCCTCCTAACTTCTTCATGCTAGAGGACAGCCAGTTTTTATTTGATAACAATTTTCACTCAGAGTCTAATTGGGAGCAGGGCAGATTTTTCATTCCATAACTAAGACCACTCTGAGCTGCCAGAATAACATGAACCGGGGGGTATGCAGGGTACTGGGGAACCAGCACTGGGAGCTAAAAGAAGGAAGGGGTTTGGGGAAGAGTGACAACATGTGACCTAGGCAGAAATACTCTCCTAGCATCTGAAAGATGCTGTCTCTAATGAGGACAGCTACTTTGTATAGGATTAGAGGGTATAAAGAGGAATAAAATGAACCACGAGACACAATAAGGAAAGCTGTCTGGCCAGCAAGTTTTCCAAGGGAAGGGCAGGGAATGCCAGCATCTGGGAGCTAGGAACTGGCTCTGGCATGGGGGCTACAGGAAGTGCCCCAGCATGCCAGCTCCAACTTGAGATGGCTCAAGTTGCAAGAAGAGCGATTAGCAGCAGATGAACTTTGCTTCTGCATCTGCTGTCCCCCCAGTCCCACTTCTTACCACTCTGTCCATGTCTCTATTTGGGTGGTTCTTTATAAAACATGTCCCTTAAATGCCCTAATGGCCATAATCTTTTTCAACAGGAGCCTGAGACCTGGTGAGCATGACAGTCATCATTATTACTACAGGGAAGGATGAGGAATGAAGTAGTTTTTCTGATTCCCTAGTGAGCTGCTGAGGCCTTAAAGACCCAAACTGATTTTAGTTTCTGTGACATGCACAGGGAAAAATTTGGTACATACAGTGCAGAAAGGGGAGGTGTGGCTTTAGTCATCTGCTGTCATTCCTTTCACTGGGTCCTTTTGTCTCATCTAGAACAGAAAAAGCAGGAAAAATTGGAGCCTCTTGCTGCTGAATGAACTTCACCATAAATCCATCCCGTCTTCCCAATTCTGCCACTGGATAGGGTACAGCATTTTAAAAAAACTTTTTTAAAAAGGTGACCGGTAGGCTGGCCCGTGTCTCACTCGGGAGAGTGCGGTGCTGATAACACCAAGGCCACGGGTTCGGACCCCATATAGGGATGGCCGGTTGGCTCACTGGCTGAGTGTGGTGCTGACAACACCAAGCCAAGGGTTGAGATCCCCTTACCGGTCATCTTTTATTTTTTTATTTTTTTAAAAAGATGACCGGTAAGGGGATCTCAACCCTTGGCTTGGTGTTGTCAGCACCACACTCAGCCAGTGAGCCAACCGGCCATCCCTATATGGGGTCCGAACCCGTGGCCTTGGTGTTATCAGCACCGCACTCTCCCGAGTGAGACACGGGCCAGCCTACCGGTCACCTTTTTAAAAAAGTTTTTTTAAAATGCTGTACCCTATCCAGTGGCAGAATTGGGAAGACGGGATGGATTTATGGTGAAGTTCATTCAGCAGCAAGAGGCTCCAATTTTTCCTGCTTTTTCTGTTCTAGATGAGACAAAAGGACCCAGTGAAAGGAATGACAGCAGATGACTAAAGCCACACCTCCCCTTTCTGC